TCAGGTGTTTAAGTGTGCAAGAATTTTATGATTTAGAGGTGTCATCCCAAAATAGCTCTTTCACACAACAGTCACTTGGATTCAGTGATTGGATTCACTGATTTTGCTTACTTTGATCTCCAAAGGTAACAGTGACAGATGGTTAATGAGGAGTTCGTACCAGCCTTGCTTTGAGTAGGGCCTTTGGGTCCATCTACTCAAACATTTCACATTGCATGACCTCACTCATCAAGTGTGGGTTTTGTGACTGACATAGCATGCCCACAGACGTCTGTCACATTAACAGTTTTCCTGTCTGTATAATTTCTTCTATTTTGAGGTCTGAGATAAATCCCACAGGACAAAGTATTGCTGGTATTAAGTACTTCTGTGTTAGAAGCCTTGTCAGGAGACTCAGCTATACCAACAGGAGTACACTGCTACATCTTGAAATGACAGACCTCCTTTACTCTACACTATCTGACGGGCTTGAATGGGAGTACTAGCAAAAAGAAGGACTGTACCACACATGGCTGGCTTTTTACTTTCTTCACAGATGTTCCATTTTTGCAAGACTTCCATGTTTACTGCAATCTATTTCATGCTGACAAAAACATTTCTGCCTGCCTGTATGTGGGTGCTATACATAGAGCATTCTCAGACTCTCAGAAACAAAGATCAGAGTTAAAGATCAAGTTTTACAGAGTACAGAGAGCTATTAAATTAGTATTTCAGACCATAAAATGAAACAGAAACCAAGGCCTGAATGCATGGCTTATCCCTACTGCTTACCTACTAAGCACAGGTACAGAGCACCTTCATAAATGGCATTTTCCATAATTTGCAGAAATACTTGTTTGCTGGTACAGTATATTTACACGCCAATTTTTAATGAAACCCTGTGGGCCACTGCACCAGACATTTCCACACTCTTGCATCAAATGATGTAAACATACTATTACAGAGAAAAATACAATGCATTATACATACATACAAAGCATGAACTTTACTGGTAGGAATTCAATGTACATTATAATTACTTCAACTAAGGAGCCAACATCACAAAATAAGCATCATCAATTCCACTAAAGTAACAATTGTAGAGTTACCATACAACCAACTCTACATCTCTTGTTTTTCTACCTTCTTTACATTCTTGGCTCCTCTCCGTTACAAACTGATTCCAGCATAACTTTGAATTTTCTGTAGTAACTGCTCATGTCATCTAACATCTTCAACACACCTTTTTCCATTATTACCCCTCTGTGCAAAGCCTGGACACTTCAGTATTGCAAATCTGTTGTCCCAAAGGTGCTGGGAATTTTGATAGAGACAGACCAAATCCCAAAATATGACTAGTAAATACTAAGCCCCTGCTCAGGGCAAAGGCAATGAATTCTCTCACTGGTTCATTCTAAAGCAGCATTACTTAAACTATACTACATTTCTTTCCAGCTTGTTCCTACCTTTCAATCTCATACTGTTTTTTCTATGGGAACTACAGAATTTTTTTTTCTGCTGTAAATAGTCCCTATGGCTCCAGCCTATAAGCCTAACCCAATGGTTATGGTTTGCACAACTACCAAAGAGATTCAACAAGCAACTGTAACCACTGATAAATCCTTGGGTTTTAGGTGCTGACTCTGATCAGAAGAGTTAAGAAAACAGGATGAGTAGCAAAACAGGATTCAATAATCCCCTGGTCTGCAAGGTACATTTGCTATAAAGCCACTCTAGGTTATTTATATCCACAATGACTATAACCAATTTCAGATTCTGCAGACAGTAAGCCTTAAAAATAACTTTTTATAACTATCCTGAGAGCTGATTTTAAGTACTGCAACAGACTAATAAAATGTAACAGTTTCTTCCCTACTTAGCAAGTTATAAAATGGTAAATATTTTTCAGAACATTTAGTGGACATACATTATACCAACGGTTCTATTTACTTGGTTCCTCACATAAAGGCACAAAGGAGGCTTAACACAGTTGTCCTGTAATTGTGTGTTTGAGGCAGGCAGGCTACAATATGTTCACAAGAATGCTGTCACTAGCCTACCAAACTACCTTGTTCACATAAAACAGATTTCAATTTAGATGCAAAGTAATTTCCATAGCTTGGAGCCATTAGAAGTTTAATGGAAGCTCGCTGTAAGCATTTTCAAGGGGGTGGGGAGTTCCCTGTCTAGAAGACATATTATCAGCCACTGATTTCCAGGACCACTATATCCTACAGTACCCACTAGGATGGCAAAGCAACCAAATCTAATCACACAGTTAAAAGATTTTTCTCATATATTTATTTCTCCTTCAGTTGTAAAACTGCAGCAAAAACAATGCTGTTGTCAGTTGGCTGAAATGCAGTGCCTAAACAACTTTTCACATAAGACACTGTATCTACAGTATCCTTTGATATCGGAGACGGCCATATATCAGTTTCTAAGATAGCAGCATCTTTTGCCTCAGCAATTATCTTCATCTAAGTCAGATACACTTGAAATTTAACAGGAGCAAAACCACTTCCTAGATGGAACACCTTTGTTTCAGGATAACCCCTCAGAAAAAATAGATACAGGGATATCAGTGCATGACTTAGTAACTGAGGTTAAGAACACAACTGTTCTTATGGGAACTAGAAATCAGTCTGAATACAGAAGACACATGGACCACTGCAAGGTCTCCAACTACTTATTTAACAGTCTTGTGCTCCTCCTTGGTCACCTTTATCCAGCACTGCCTTATCCTCACAGCCACATCTCTCCCTGCCCCACTTCCCCACACCCATCCCTTCCCTTCAATAGCCTACTATTTCTATGGGTTATTTATATAAAGAGTACGTGATCACAGGTGACAGAGATTACAAAGAATGCACAGCTAGGACACATTCCTGTTTTCACTTTCATGGCTAAAGATTCCTCAAGGTCCAAAAAAATCCTGACAACGTTATTAGAACAATGCCAAAGAACACACAACTCAACATACTTCACCTTAGGATGTCTGTAATCTTTCCCTTACTCAAATTCAAAAGAGCACTAAAAAGCAAAGACTTAGATCAAGGAATTTGCTACAGTGGAGTAGTACACTCACTATCCAGCAACACAGCTTATTTAACCTCATAGTTGACCTCTCATGCTGTGGACTGAAGGCTTTTTTTGATATTTTTGTGCAACACTATGTCATATTCTCCTATTTCTACAGAAAATAATAAAGGGTAAACATGACTAGCACTATCAATTTCTCAGATTTCCATCATTTGGAGGTTTCCACAAAAAATGTTTGACAAACTGTCGTGCAAGAACAGACTGAAGGATTTAAATCTACATCAGAGATTGACATGTCAAACAGTTGTTCTTCACTCTATTAAGAATGCTCACAGTTTCCCAGGACTTAAATGTTGAGGTACATGCTATTAGATTAATAAGTCAGCCAAAAAGAAGTGGATTTTTAATTAAAAATGCAGTTATAATCACTACTAATTACCCTGAAAACTAACAGAAGAGCAGGATCTTCTCCCAGTGCAGCCCCTCTCTCAGGAGCTCCTCTCTTTTCCATTTAACTTTCAGTGGAAAAGACAAAGAACAACTGATAGGTTATGGAGAGATCGGAACATAAAACTGTATGTGAACTGAAATGCCAGCAGAGGCACATATTGCTTACACTTGTGGAAGTGTAATGTTTTGCAGTGCAGAATGCAAGTCTCTTTCCAATAAGAGCCGGAAATGCAAGCGCGACACAAAACATCAGGGTCATTTTGAGTCTGAAATAAAAACATTTTAGCAATCTTTCTGGCAGGACCGTTTGGGGATGCTACAAAATAAACACACAGATCGCTCTTCAGGTGGCTCTTGGGATATCTATGGCCCACTTAACATTTTCATTTTAAAGACTCAATTAAGGAGAAGGAGCTGAAGCTATTAACTTCCATTTAAAAGAAACCCAAAGCAAACCCCAAATCGCATACCTAACCAAATGGGTGAGCATGAAAAGGCTCTTTCATTTGGGGAACTTAATAGCATACTTCGTCCCCGTGTTACAAGCAAACACAAGATCTAGTTATCACTAACTACAGAAAAGCCCAGCACATGAAAGCGGGCAGCTATTAAATGTTACAGAAGCCCAGTTCTTACTCACCCTAGAAACCGCAGCGCCCACATACACGCACAGGGTCTCGGGCACCCGGCCGGGGCAGGAATCGCCGCCGCAGCCGCCGCCCGGTCCTGCCGAGCGAGCGCCCCGACCCCCTTCCCCGCCAGCCCCGGGGCGCGGCCCCTTTGTTCGGGGTGCCGCCGCGGCCGCGCCCCGCCCTCCGCAGGTACGGGCAAGCCGCACCCGCTCCCCGCCGCAACAGGCGCCGGACCCCGCCGCGGCCCCGCCACCCACTCCCCGCTGCTCCCGCGCCCGGGCGGGCTGCGGCCGGAGGTCGCCAAGGTCGACGCCAGTAACCTTCAGGGAGCGGCCACCAGGCCCCTGCAGGAGGTTCGGGGCGCCGCCCGGCCGTCCACACCCCGGGGTGGGGCCGGCAGGCGCACACCGCCGGCCGGAGACGGTGAGGCGGCAGCCGCACCCCGACACTAATTCCCGGGCGGCGCAGGGCGGGGGGCGCGGAGCCGCCGGAAGCCCCCGCCCGCACGGCAGCTTCCCCCCACACCGGAGAGCTCCCCCGACGCGGGCGGAGCCGGGTCCTTGCGCTCCCCCCGGCCCCAGCCCCGGCGGCCGCGGTGGCGGCGGCTTCACCCTGGTCTGGTCTGGTCCGGTCTGGCCCGGCCCGGCCGCGCGCCCCCATCTCACCTGCGGCGGTGGTGCCGGCGGCGCGCGCACCGCTGCCCGCCCGAGGAGC